GGGGGGCGGGGGGCGGCGGCGGCGGCGGCTGCCCGGCTGCAGAGAGGAGCAGCGCTGCCGCAGCCGAGCGGTGGTTCTCTGGGACCGTCCCTGTCCCTGGCACAACTTCCACCTCTTCCTCTTCCTCGCCGTCTTCCTCCTCCTCCTCCTCCTCCTCCTCTCCTCTTCTTCCCCTTCGTTCCCGGGAGGGCAAGGGTCCCGATCTCGGGCTCAAGCAGTTCCTATGAATCATCTTGTCCTGAGGAGGCGGCTCTTGACCCGGGTTGGTTCCCACGGCCTCGGCCAAACTGGACGCCCTCTTGCCGAGCAGCGGGCCAAGTTGACCTCCTTCCAGGAACATCACCATCTCCTTCCTGCTTTCCATGGTGCAGCTTTTCCCCCGAAAATCCCGAGCCTCCCTCTCTTCCCCCACTCGCCCACCCCAAACTCCATCCACCCTTCTTTTGCGCCCTCTTCTTCTTCTTCTTCTCCCCCCCTCCTTCCTCGCCCGGCAGGTCCTCTTCTGCCAATGCAGAAGAGACGAGGAGCCGCCGCCGCCGCCGCCGCCGCGGGAGCGGGAGCGGTGCGTGTGTGAAGCGCCGGGGGGTGACCTTGTGATGCGAACGCTCCAGTGTGCAGCGCCGGCTCTGGGAGGGATCTCACCATTGCCCTCTTCTTTCTAAAGCTGTCATCCCTTAATGGTGCAATCGTCATTACACTACCTCTGGTGACGCCACTCACTCGAGGGCCGGGGGGGATAAATAGAAACGTCTGCCCGGTGGAGAAAGATGAAAGGAAGAGCCCGAGCGAAGAGTTAAAAGGGGCGCGGAGAAGCAGGGTGGGGTGTGGGGGAGGGGAAGAGATGCACCAGGTGTAACCAGGGCATGTGAGCGGGATGCGAGAGGAAACCGGTGTGAGAGGCAGATACTGTAGCATTCAATGGCAAACTAGACGCCGGTGCCTTGATTTAGGTACCGTCCAGCTTGAGTCGGTTCGATTGAGCAACTAGAACTTTGATCCACAACAGAGAAGATGCCGCGCTGAGTCCTTACTCCACCCCCACCCCAAAAAAGTGTGCAGAAAGGACTTATTGCTGATTCTTTCTCTCCCCTCCTCGTCCTTCCGCCAGGGAATGATTTATTTCTCCTCTGCCACCGCACTCCTTTCAAAATTACACTTTGCAACTCCTAGTACAACTAGATTCGAAATGCATCCACGAATAAGGGGGTACTTAGAGTGTTTTCTCTTCATAACGCACCATTTGATTCCAGCTCTTTGGGCCATCTGGTTCAGGCAGGAGAATTAGTCGCACTGCTAACAGAAAACAGAAAAGAAAAAAGAAAAAACACTACAGCTTGATTGATGTCCTAACTACCTCCAATTCAGATTGTTCTTAATAATAATTTATTTTAAACAATATCTGACTAATAATTTTCTATTTTTTTCCCTCTCCACAGGAAAGAAACCTGCCCGAAGAAGATTTATATGATTCAATTGGACAGCAATAATCCAGTGACTTGCTTTTTATTTGAAGCCATGGCAAAAAAGGATTCGTAGAATATAGTCAGCCGTCTTTTGTAAATGTCTGTATTCAACTTCTTTAATATAGATAACCATGTAAATATGTGCATGCGTTTCTTTTACAGACAAAAACCTATTTGCCAAATAGCCATGGCTAGGACTATCAAATAACAATTTAACCATCCGTTGGCTTGCCCTTCTTTTCAAAGACTGTCGGTCGCGCTCAACCAACCAATAATGTTTCCTATCTGGTAAATAATTTATGGGGATGTTTGAGGGTTGGGGGATTTTTGGGCCGCCCCCTCCCCCTTTTTGAGTAGAGGACTGAAAAGAAGCAAAACATCAGAGACACATAAAGGCAAGAATACCCCCCCTCCCAATTACTTTACGAGGAAGGGTTGGGATAAAAGGCTGTAAATGGGCGTGGTTGGCATTTTAAAGAAGTAAACAATCTGCAAACAACAAACAAAGCTAACATCACTTCCCAGTACAAATGCCATCATAAGACTTCTGAGGAGTGTAATGCATTTTATGCGGAGGCGCCGAATGGACAATGTAAGTAGAATTGACTTGCTGTTATGACACTATACTTTACTTCAGATCATGTTCTTTATCCATTTCGTCTGTAGTTTGAACAACAACCAGTTCATGCATCTGACGAAGTGGCTTAGGGAGATTTGTGAGGGCTAAATCGAATTCTAGAATAGGTCCACTGAATGAATTGGATTAAATCAAAGCTAATGTAAATCACATTGATTTCATCAATTTACTCTAGGTAGGAACAACAATTTGCTTTAGACTTTGGGGGTTAAGGTACTAGCAGATTTTTTTTTGTTTAAATGCGATCTTTATTTCCATTCAGCTGTACAGTGAGGATGCCTTATTTATATTTAAGAAAAATCAACGCACCACTATTAAAACCATGTAGCAATACATGCATTTGACACTGATGTTAGGGAGGCTTGAGCAGTATCTGTGTTACACTCCTATAACAACTCACGGTTCCATACTACACACAATTGCTTACTAATAAGTACCTTTGATTTCGATGAGATTTGTACCAACGGAAAGGAGCGTAAGACTAGGCTTGGGATATTCATGTCCATCCTTAAACATATGTCAAGGGAGCGTCAAGGTGGCTGATCGACAAATGCATGTACTGTAAATTGTTTTAAGTCGGTCTCACCCGGAACTGCTCTAACTATTAAAGGGCAATAATAAACCAGTCTTAGAACAGATAGAGGTGAAGTGCTTTGAATTCTGCTGATCAACCCAAATCCTAAACACATTTGCGTTCAAGAAGGTTTCATCCCATTTAGTAGAAAGCAGAGCAGATCCATTCAGAAAGGTGTCTGTCTGCATTTGATGAGCTGGATGAAAATCTAGCTGCGTTTAGAGTAGGCCCGTTGAATGTGTCTAAGTATTACCGAACGTTTATCCTATTGGGCCGGGTTTATTTCCCTGTGGTTATTATTTCGGATTAAGCAGGCTGAACAGGGGCCCTGAGTGAGTTGTCATACCAGTTGCTACCCTCTAAAAACAGCTCCAATCCTCTTGTTTTTCATAGCCGGGCGATAAAACTTGGACCACTTTAGGGAGTCTCCGGAGGAGAAATCAAGGCGGCGAGTCTGCAGGAAAGGGGCGGCTTTTTTCTTTTTTTCTGTCTCCTCTTCCAGGAATCCAGGAGAAAGAGAACCGCTGCCCCGCCTCCTCCTCCTTGCTCTCGGCGCACCATCTGGAGAAGGGGGTCTCTCACCACTAGAATCCCCCCCCTCTCTCTCACACACACACCTCCAATAAGGAACGGAAGGATCCGAGAAGAAAGTGAAACCTGCTGGTGATCCTTTGAGTTCCTGGTCTGTCGAAAGTCTCCGATCATATCCCATCAAGACAGAAGAGAACCCCGTCACCTTGTGGCCCTCAGCGTGGGCTCTTCTCAAATCAAAGACAAGGCAGCTTTTGTGACTTCTTTTAGAAAAGACGGTGGAGACCAAGCGGGTGTGTGTGTCGTTGTGTATTTCCATCACCTTCCCCCCCCCTCCGTAAACTGCTCAGAGCTTTCGGGGTGTTTAAACTGTTGGGGGAGGCATTAATTCAAAGCCTAATGAATTCCCCGGGGTCTTGGCAAACGGACCTGCTCATTTGTCTGTAAGGAGTTGGCATCAGCTTTGTCTGAGAGAGGAAAGGGTCTTTACAGGAAGAAGGCACGAGTTTTGCTTCTCCTCCTCCTCCTCCCCGGACATCAAATCAAAATTACTCTTTGCCGGGTGCTCAGGTCTTTAGGGCGCTCGGAGGGACGCAGAGTTCAGTTTTGAGAAATCTGCATTCATCCATTCATTTATTCCCCCACCCCACCCCGGTTTTCCCAGAACTCCAAGATCTACCAACAGGAGCTTGCTGCAAAATATATGTTCTGAGCCTCCGAATGTATTTTCAGTCCCAGAACTAAGCAGCCTTCACAGTCCTTCTGTAGAAAACCCCATTCCTACTTATCCCCATTTTTCATGTTTGCCGTCTCTTGAGCAGGGGGCATTTTGTTCTTCCTATTGTTAAACAATTGGGGATGCTTGTTAATTTATTTCGAAGTACCCGCAGATATGTCAGACGATCCGGTTCTACGATGAGATCGACCTTCTGCCTACCCTTCTTTCGTCAATGAGTGGAGGCAATACCTCCTGCTTGAAGTCCTCCTTAATGGTAGCAAGACACCTGGGATGGGAGTTATTCTGGGTTTATTAACACAGAACAAGAGGATGAAATGATGTGTATGTGACTCCATAGTCAAGGGTATTAAAAGCAGATGATCCACCCCCACTTCTCTTTCGATGAATATCGATTTATTTATCAGTTTGTTTTGTTTTGCTTTTTGTTGTGATTGCATACTTCCTTATTCAGAGCTTATAATAACAACATCTATATATGTATTTATTTAAAGTATTGTACCCCGTCTTTTTCCTTTAAAAAGACCCAAGGCGGATTACATCAGCAAAAGACAATATGTCATATAAAATAATGGTAAAATTAAGTACGATTAACGGAAACTAACCTCAGGCACTCAACACCTGAGTTCTCATCTCTGGTGGCCACTTTTGTCTGCTGGGGTGACAGAGGAAGAGATCAATTTGGATCAGCCGCAAACTGTGCAACCACTTGATTTGAGAAACTGTGCTCTGCTCTTATTTCAAAGGGCTTTTCAACAGCTGACGATTGCCTGCTATGCAGAGCGCTGGGTGGATCCTCTTTACCCTAATAGCAGAGGATGGGAAACAACCGCTAATGATAAGAAAGGTGCTTCTAAAAGGCAATTTTTTTTTCCGCCTCAAGCTGCCATCCGTGACCCATTAGCGGCGTGATTTTAACCAGATCTGCTTGCTGACCTCGGTGGATTTACGTTATGGAGTGAGATGAAGCGACTCGCTAAGCCTTCTGCGTCCCAGATCCTATTCCGAATGCCGACTTGGAAGTGTTTGTCTGGACGATCGTGTCTGGTCAGCCGTGCCTATAAAACATGCAGGAGATCAAAACCTCGCCTTGACCTGGGTCCGCCCGGAGAGCCCCAGTGTGTGAACTGGTGAATAGTCACTGAGGATTCATTGTTTTATTTTTAAACAAGGGACTTCAAAAGAGACGTTACTGAGCGCTGAAACTGCTTGTCAAACCTTGGATGGGTGAGTGGGTGGGTATCGTTTTCAAGAGCATTTTAGAACAAAACCCCATGTAGATCAATGGGACTTTCTCCCAGGTAGGTGGGCAGAGGCGATGATTCTCAGCCCACTCCTTTACGTTCTGTTTCCTACAGCGCTGAAGTAATTTATTTATATGTGCTCTTTCTTTCTTTCTTTCTTTCTTTCTTTCTTTCTTTCTTTCTTTCTTTCTTTCTTTCTTTCTTTCTTTCTTTCTTTCTTTCTTTCTTTCTTTCTTTCTTTCTTTCTTTCTTTCGACTCAAAGCCCGCAAACTTTCCACCAGCAGACAACGGAACTGATTTGGGAGTGAGTGAGATCAAGCGAGTGAGATCATGTCCACATTGGGACTGGACACTGAAATGATTCCGTTCGCCGGTTGCACCGAGTAAGGTTTCCTGCATCACGTGCATAAAATGTTATCCTAAGACGTGTGTGTGCATATGCATATGCATATGCACACGTATATTATACATTATGCATGCGGGGGGCAGGGAAGGTGGGGAAACTGTGAACAATGGGAACGGAAGGAAATAATTTAGGAAGTACACGCATGCTATTGAAATTATACCCCACCTTTTCCCGAATAAGTGCAGTACAAGTACACAGAGGTGTGCATCCCTGTGCATATGCCACCTGAGTACATGTTTGAGGGTTTTACCTTCAGTACGCTTCTCTGGGGTTCCTTATGGTGAGCAGGATTGGGCCATGATATTATTCGCCAACGTTGCATCTTGGGAATGAACACGTGTGTATATTGGCACGGACCATTAAAAATGTTAAGCTCCATTGCCAGGACTGTCAAGATGATGCAGGCCAGTATCCAGTGTGAAGGACATCCAAACTGCCAGGCATCATCCATTCATATGAAGAAGATTGCTTAGGCAGGCAAATGTAATACGGATCACATAAGATGGTTGCTGCTTTTATGGGAGAGGGCTTCGCTGTATTTTTTCATGTTTCTGAATGGTTGTTTTTATATTTTTGGTGACCTCCTGGTATGTTGGAAAAGTAGTATAAAATAATTTTATTTATTTTTTAAAAAATATATATTTCTGCCTCCACTGCATTTGTGAGCTGCCCAAGAATGAAAGATTTTTTTTATTTTTAAGAGCTTGTAAATCAAAGGTTTTTTCCCCCTTAATAAAGCATAATCCGGTGAAATATTTAAATATAAGTGTCTATTTGTGGTTACTGCCTTACTGATAATTCCCTAGGCTACTGAAGAAGTCATACTGTACTATAGTTGCCATTAACTAGAATCATTTATTTTCTAGGTTTGAGTCAATAACAAATTTTACATTTCCCACTCCCTTTCTTTTTTGCAACACAGAAAAGCAAATGCTAAAATTGTTAACCTTTCTGAAAGAATCAACAAAATAATGAAGCTGAATTTTAGCTTTATTTCTATGTGATTGAGGGTTTTGCACTCTGTACAAATGATTAGCAAAATAGAAAGTCTAATCTGTTATTGAGTGCAGTTAACCATAATGACATAATTATTGCTGCTTTATTAAGACTGTTTTTATGACACTGTGAAAATTGTTACACAGCAATGAAGGAAATAATCAGAGGATTTGTTCTTCAGTTCTCTAGAAAGTAAACTCTAAAATGAAATTGACAGAATGGGAACAAATAGCCTAAAAATAATGGGTATACCTATGGTATTTGGTTACAAAATGGGTTTGACAAACTACATAGCTGAACCATGTTTGAACATCACATGAAGAAAATGTTCAAGATAAATTTTGGTAAAGATGATAATGACGATCAGAGCAAAGCTCCTTTATCACCTCAAAGATTAAATTTGATATCTTACGGAGTTATTGTTCAGCAGGAAGTCCAGGCAACATAATGATGTGAGATAATTTGGCTTCTGTTAGTATTGTGGCCTCCCTGAAGGACATCTGAAGAATAGAAAAGATGTAAGGTGTCCCTATATGGTCCTGGTACACAACTGGAAGGCAAGGGTGGGTGATACTTTAATCAGACCAATAAAAAGAAATCGCTACCATAAGCTTTCAGCCCCATGTGGGTCTTTATCAGGCTGAACACCACAAAGCAGTGGATGGTACAGGGGAAAACACACACAGTTGTGCAACCACACAATACCTTTTTACTATGCTGGCAAGATTTCCCCTCACTTCTATCCCAGTGTGGCATAGTGGATAGAGTGGTGTGCGTGTGCGTGTGTGCGTGTGTGCGTGTGTGCATGTGTGCATGTGTGTGTGTGATATATTATACTACTCTTCAATTTCTGAAACACCTTGAAAACAGTATAAAGGTTGTGGTAAGCAGAATGTGACTTGACAGCACATTGCACTTGTATAAATACTTCGCCAGATGCAAAAAGTGTTATCTGGAATTTCATAGGTCAGCAAGAAATTGAATACATCAAGTACTGACAGTCAGTGACAATTGTGCTACTAAAAATGGCCATTCCCAAAATTTACTGGTGATATCAGAACCCACTTGGTAAACCAACTGACACACGTAGTGTGATAAGAAACTATTATCTCAATTCAAACCGCTGGAGACTGATCGGAACTTCTTAATACAGTATATTGTAATTCAGCAGTTTCCCATTTTAATCTCTCTCTGAAGTCTCTTTCTTCAGAAAGAACACTTCAGAATCAGTTTCCAGAGTGAGAGAGTTTTCTGGGAGGATAAAGTGCGCTCTCTCTCTCTCTCTCTCTCAACATTGTCATTTCTGATGTCAGATTTATAACCGTTTCATCCATTTTGAGGGTACCAGTTGCTGGACAGTGAAACAGCCTGACCCTGAAGATGGTGCAGACTGGGTGCTATGTACCAGGATATTATATTAGTGCAATTCCATTAACATCAAAGATTTGGACTGGAAGACCTTTGAGATCTTCTTCAGTTATATATTTTAGGAAAGTTTAATTCAACAGAAACCTCTCCTGGCTCGTGTCATTCTGTCTCCACAATTAATCTGAATGAGCATCTCAGTCGTTAGACTGTTGAAGCCCATGCAGTCAAAAGCACACCAAAACAAACTCTGGCTATGCACATGGTCAGCATCAGTGTACCTGAGAAATACATAGACCAGTTCTGGAAGATACAGGAGAGGAAGAGGGGGGGGCGCGATATGACTTTTGTTCCTGCTTCAATTTTTTTTATCTATCCAGGTATCAAATGGTCCACAGATAAGACAAGGCAACAATTGAGCTCCTTCCTCCCATTCATTTCTTTTTGTGCTCCACCATCTTCTAAAGGAGGCCCATCAACCATTAAAGGTTTTCAGGCTTGTTCTGCCAGCTTTTACTGGCACCTTATGTATGCTCAAGCTGTTTTCGGTATGAACAAATATTAACTCACAATGAAGTCCTGACATATTGTAAACAGGACAAACCTTAAGGAAGGAGAGTTGGAACAGTAAGAAATCTCTCTCTCTCTCTCTCTCTCTCTCTCTCTCTCTCGGGAACAGTAAGAAATCTCTCTCTCTTTCTCTCTCTCTCTCTCTGTGTGTGTGTGTGTTTGAATGAGTGAGAGAGTGAGTGAGAATGTTTACAGGCATCTCTCTGTGTATCCAAGTAAAACCAGAATATTCTGGCAGTGATTATAACTCACAGTTAAGACTTACTCTTTACCATACATTCCTATAGAAATTCTGCTAAGTTCAATAAGGTGATTGTATGGTAAGCCTGTCTATAAGCAGAATTGCTGATTTAGTTCACTCTAGGAGCCTCTTCACCCAGATACTTCAGCCACATACAAAGAACAGTAAATTCCTTCTTCCGTTTTTTTTAATGCATGCATTTTTATTGTGTTTCAGGCACTAACCCACACATACTAAAGACTGCGACTCCATGCTCATCTTGTAAACAAAGCAAGCGCTCTGAATATACTTCAGAGCATTTTAACTCATGGTCACATTTATTATATGAGAATGTTCGCCCCAAAGCGTAACCCCCAAGAAGAAGCACTTTCCATTCAATAAAATAGGATGGTGGACATAATTTACCAAGCCGCAGTCTTCAAAAGACATCTCGTTTATTCCGTGGTTGGTGGACACCGTGCAAATAACCTCCATAAATTTCCATGCTGTTCCTGCGATCTGTTTATGCCTGTTTTAATTGCAACTTAGATAGCGTCTGCATTGCGTCATATTTTAAGGAGAAAAGCTACTGAACATACTGCGCAGCTTTCGGACTGAGTATTGGGGAGAGGGTGGGAAGACAGGACATAGCTCAATTTCGCATTGTCGTCATGGCATTTCTGTTGCCTCGAGCAGAGCTTGGCAATGGCATTTTCTGAACTGTAGTTCTAGAAACTTCTGGCTGGCTGTGCCGCCTGGGGCGTTCTAGGCGTTGTACTTGAAAAATGAACTTTTCCAGCTCTATCTTGTCCCTGACCTACACGCGGGCAGACCCAAGAACCGGAGTGCTTATGTCCCAACGAGGCTAAGCGAAATAATTAATCCGGTGTATATCCGGTTTCGAATTCTCTGGGACAGACAGGTTTTTAAAATTCTATTTCGGACTGAATACATCTTCGGGAGATGTCGTAAGACACTTCCATAAGCCCGAAGGAGAAGAAAGTCTGATGCTCTCCAACGGGTGTATCGATAGAAGCTAATTTCTTTTTAATAGATAATTGAGGTAAACCGAGTTAAAGCCAGTCTACGGTTTGGGGCCAGTGAGTGGGTGGGCTGGTGTGTAAACTGAGGTGAATGCCCTTCAGAGGAGAAAATTATTATTGTTACCTGTCCTCAAATCGCCTCTGACTTATGACTACCCTGTGAATGAGTGGTCTTCAAAATGTCCTGTCCTCAACTGTCCCGCTCAGCTCTTGCAGACTCAAGCCTGTGGCTTCCGTGAGCCAGTCCATCTCACATTTAGTCGAGAAATTAAGGGCAATCCTTCCTCTTATGCTAGGGTCGGAAAATCCTCATTTCCGAAAGAGAGGGATTGTTTGGGCAGAAAGACCAGAGTGAGTCAGTCCATCTCACATTTAGTCAAGAAATTAAGGACAATCTTTCCTTTTATGTTAGGGTCGGAAAATCCTCATTTCCGAACGAGAGGGATTGTTTGGGCAGAAAGACCAGATGAGGTTTCTGATGGAAAGCAAGAGGACGGTGTCAGAGGAGGAGGGTGGCTGGTCAGCGGGCGGGACTCCGCAGCCTTTGAATCTGCAGGGCATCTGAGTTCACATCTCCAGCACCGTCCCTGCTTGAGCCAAGAGATAAGCATCGCTTCCTGGAGGCACCAGGGAAAGCATCGCCTTTGATTTCGGCGGTGGTGGGGCAGGAGCTGAGTGAGGGACGCCGCAGATCCATGCCCTAAAGGAAGGCAAGAGATTTTGAAGATCAGAAAAGATAACAGCTGCTGTGTTGAGACTGCGGTTTGCCTCTTCTCTGTGTCGTTCCTCGGATTCCCGTTTGGGCCCCAGCAACACTATGTGAAAAACCTGCACTTGTTAAAAAAGGTCGTCCCCCTGGGATGTGGTGGGGATGGCGGATGGCGCTTCGCTCCCCTGTGTCCTCCTTTCGTCCTAACAAACAAGACAGGGCACCTCCGTCCAACAGGCCTCCATCCTAAGCACACACACCCTTTTCCCACAGGCTATTTTCACAAGTCTTATATTTCTGAATAACTTTGCATGGTGTCAATGGATTGTTGTTGTTGTTCTGCTGTGTTTCTGGACTGCCCTTCCCATTATCCCCGCACAACAGGCAGTTGTGGTTAGGCTGGTGGGAGCTGTACGTAACCCACCCACTGGAAGAGGTACTGTTTTGGATGACAGTTTACCAAAAATCTCACTTTGGCTAATTTCACCCCAAACTCTGTCACAGACCAACAACATCTGGTGGGCTACATCTCTGTGAGT